CCCTCCAAACATATGCCTTGTCATTTAAACTTGAACTTATTTGTTCATATCATCATTCTTCCACCACAAGAATCGAAGCAAGTCACGATGATTCTCGTTCACCTTAGCTTGTAAAAACATCCCTTCAATATCAGCCATAAAGCAACAGGGTGATGCCTAAAACGCGGTAAATTCTCAATCAGTTTGTTTGTTAAGTCTGGGCCTTGATATATTGCATCATTCACGGAAATGCCTTTGTGCTCGGCTACACAGTCGTAAACAATACGTACTTTATCTACTTTATCTGGTTTTCTGGCGTGTAATGCTGGATGGTGGGGCAGATACCGAACATAACCGCCGTCTTTACAGGCCTCTTTCATCTCTTTTGCATAACTTTTGTCTCGTAGTTCTACCATACTTTCCATATACCTTTTCTGGAGCCACTTGTCTTTCTTTAATCTCCTTTTAAGGCACCGAAAACGGAAATTTGCCACAGACCGGTTATCTGGGAGATTTAGTGGCTGCTCTTGGAATGGAATGTCCATGCTGTATTGTTTTCCTTCATCATAGTGTAATGAATTTTTCCAGGTAGTCATAACCTTCTTGTCATTGACAGACATAGCTGAAAAATCTTCATCATGTCCATCTAGCTTGCACAAGTTCTTGATCTGGTCCTGGAGATCATTGGAAGTGTTCACGAAATAACTAGAAACATTTTCTGTTGACCGTTCTCCAATTGGACCGTTGATTGTCCATCCCAGTGCTGTTCTCACTGCATATGGCATACCTGTCTTTCCTTCTCGGATCTCTCTTGGTTTGAGTAATTCTGGCATGTCTTGTCCAATAAGAATGTGCACTTGGTCAATGTCTACCTCTGGTAACTTTATGTCCTTCAAATGTTGCCAGTTGTCCAACTCTTCCTGAGTAACAATTTTATCAGTGCCTATATTTAGCTTGGGCCTAGTCAATACATCTGTCATATCATATATCAATGTTTCATCTGCATTTGTCACCTCCAAGTTTACAGATTTACTGAATACTCTCTTTTGGCGACCAAGTGTGTTTAAAACAATGTTGTGAATTTTCCTTGTAGATTCCAAGTTCAATGACCTCGTTAACTCTTCTGAACAGAAACTCTGAGTTGAGCCACTATCTAAAAGAGCGTATGTTTCAACAAATTGGGTTTGACCTTGCCCACGGACCTTCACACTAATGATGGGAAGTGCAATCTTTTGCTTACCCACCCCGGCCCCTGTGGCATTACAAGCAACTTCTTCAGTATCCATTTCATCTGTATTCTGGTTTGCATTTCTCTGGGGTAGATGTAGAAATTTTGTATGCTTCTGTTCACACCCTTCTACAGAGCATACTCGGTTCACTGGACATCTTAAGGCGACATGTCCTGTTCTCAAACAATTGAAACATAAATTCTTTTGTTTTGCTAAAGTTAGTCTATCTCGTACTCTCAAACCTTTGAATTCTTCACAGTTGAATAAACTGTGATGTGAGCCACAACAGGCACACAGTGGACTGTCGGTACTTGTGCTGTAATTGGCAGTGGTCTGTCTGTTCCTTCCTTCTCTGCCAGTAGACAGAAGCTGGCCAAAAACGGGGTCATTCTTTTCGTCTGCTGCTAAAGAGATAAAGTTAACCAAGTCCCCTATGTCAGGATTTCTCCCTTCAGACCGAATACTGTGTACCAACTTCAACCATCTGGGTTTAATATACTGGGGCAGCTTTTGTACAATCTTAAGTAGGTAGTCCCCACTATTTATGTCTTCCTTTCTCCCAACTGCACGCAAGGTTTCAAAGCAGCATCTCAACTCATCAGCAAAGTGCCGAAAAGCTACATTATCCGTCACCGGTCCCCTGTTCATAATTTTCTGTATCCAGGCCTGGGAAATAGTATAACTGTCTCCGTACCTTTCTTTCAATAACTTTAAAGCCGTGGCATATCCCTGTTCTGGTTCCATAACACAGCAACACTGTATAAGATTATAAGCTTCACCGCGACAATATTGCAAGAGTCTGGCCAATTTTGCAGCGTGAGGGACATTTTTATGTCCTACCATGTTTTCAAATGATCTCATAAATGGGTGGTACTGCAGAGGGTTCCCATTAAATGGCATCAATTCTACCTTTGGCAACTGCATTGCATCTATCAGTGGGGTCAATGAGTCACTTGTTGGTGGAATAGCCTCAGATACTGGTGTATATACTGCACTGTGTTGTATAGTCTGAGATGGGATATCGTATGCAGGCGTGGGTGCAGGTGGCACTGCGACAGACGGTGTTGTTTCAAATCTCGTTGGAATCGGAGTCTGAGACGCGGAGAATGCTACTGCACCATGGGGGTGATAAAGATTTGGTTGTGTTACGTGAACAAAGTCGGGTAAGCTTGTACTAAATACAGCTGGAGATGGCACTGTAAGCTGAGAAGACGCAGGTAATTCACATGATACAGGAACACTTCCCAGCAAACGGTCACCCTGTGGTGTCATGGACTGTGTTGCATGCGAAGCAGTGAGAGGGGCAGCCTGCATTGTCCAAACAGGTTTAGGAAAAGGTGTGAGTGGTACCGCAACAGACGATGGTATATAAGATGTTGATATTGCAGTCTGAGACTGTGGTACAACTGGTACATTGTGAGATGTGAATGTTGTCTGGCTGAAAGCTGGAATGTTTGAACTTAATGCACTAAGTGATGGCATTGTGACAGGAGATGTCACAGACACTGCACTCATTGTGGAAATGCCCTCTGATCTACATGTATATGGTGTCCCTGGATGAGGTATGGGGCTTATAGAAGCTTCACTGACTGATGTACTAGTAGCTACATTGTGCGGTGTACTGGTAAGAAGTGAATGTTCTCTCTTTATGTCTCTTAAAATAGAGTGAATAGATTGATCAATGTCTCTTTCTAATTCTTCAATTAAATGACGCTGTCTTTCTATTTCCTCTTGAAGTGACATGGTTGGAAAGCCAATTCAGAACTGTAAGATCCCACGGATCTTAAGTGAAAACAATAAAGTCTTGAATAATATTCTGTATGTTTATTTCAGTAACCAGCATCAGAAACGCATGTACTTGTAGTCCAATGGTTCTGACTAAAACGAAAACAAACAAAAAAGAACATAAATAAATCTTCTTAAATAAAACAGAGTGTTACAAACAACTTTAAACTGCATTAAGAATGTTAAATTAACTTATACAACAGAGCAATCATAAAAACTCACATTGCTGGCTTTCGTGGATGTCAATTATTCCTTTTTATCCTGGAAAGCTGAATTTCCTCTACAAAATCACTGAACATCTAAAGTAACTTGACATTATTATACCATGTGGTGTCTGAACTGTCATAAAAGCACAAAGGAGTGTCGCTAAAAATGTCTATTCCTACGGAATGCTAACTACAAAACAGCCACGCTGTTGAAGTGTCAATCAATTCTCCCCGCAATCCTATCTCCTCACATAAAAGATCACGCAAATGGGCCGCTTATGTCTACATTAATCAAAATAAACAAGAAATCGGTTATCCGATTCTTACACCATTCATGTCACACCAGTCTCTCATTATTCTGAACTCTTGATTGATGACTAATATGGAATACATGAAGTCAAAGATGCTTTCAAGCAAAAACTAATTTAGCTGGCATGTGCCCCAATTGACTTCATGTCAAGAAACAGTGAATATTTGATTGCTTTTTTGATTGGGTCTTGTAAATATGATTTGTCAGATTATGTCAGTGGCTTTGTTTGGTTAAGAGGCAGGTTGCTTTCAAAAAATAGCCATGATCAGCTTACATTTACAGTATTTATTATGTTTTNCATTGTGAACATTTATACAGTACTGTGAAAAGGAAAGGTAAAATCCAAACCAATTTCTTGGCAAAAATTCAGTTTACTTATTGGCTTTAATATAAATCATAAACAGCTGTGTTCAACCTCTGTATAATGTGGTAATTTGAGCTCTGGTCTAAATATTAAGGTGATGCAGAAAAACAGTACTGGCAGAAGTTGCACGCTGATAGAGAGGCCAAACTTGGTTCAAAGAAAAGAAAAAAGAAAAGGGGAGCCGAGAAGGTAAGAAAAAAAATTATATATATGTATGGCCTGAAATCTTCCAATGAAAAAGGCTAAATACATCAGCACCAGTATACCTGTATAATGCATAGAACATGTATTGTTATTGGGATATTTAACTTCTGTTTTATTAATGCTATTTAGATATTGATATAAAAGGTGTGCCTGAGCTATGTTAATCCATACAGCATGTTTACTGAAAGCTTGTTTTAGATTAATGGAACACTTCAACAAATAGACTAAAAGGTTTATAACAAATCACTATTTTCAATATCATTTATGGAATGTTTACACAATGGGTGTTTTTCTCACCTCTTACCTTAAAATCAGTTTAATCCTACTTCCAGACAATGACATGATATTTTACTTCGTTGGTATCTTATTTTATTTTCGTTTCAGATACAAGAGAAAGTGGATAAAATGGCGTACTCAGCACCTATCCCTAACAAACATATTCACTTTGATGATTGAGGAGAAGACACCAGTGACATGAAATGTTGTCATCACTTGCTGTGTGTACAGCTAACAAAAGCAGACTGCCACTTGAGATAGCAAAATGAAAAAAATAGGACTTTGTTTTGGAGTTATTGCTGAACTTTTTAAAAGGTTGTAGTCCTTTTTGAAATTTTTTATTAGTCCAGGATTAACTTTTTTGTATGTTGAACCTTTTACTCTGTTAAATGGTTTGCATTATTAACATAACAATTGTCCTACATGTTGCTTTTTGTAGTCTTGTATAAATTAAATACTGTATAAATACTGATGATTGTTTTAAAAGTGCAACATCTTTTATAATTTTCATTATATTAGATATCTAATAAATCCAAAAAAAATATTATAGAAGTACATCTAGCTTCATTTTTCCATCAAAGTTAAATTGTTTTACGTGTCTCTTCATGGATTGTGATCCCTCTTCCCTTGAATGATGACTAGAAGACTTACTATGTCTGACATGAGATACAGTTCAGTCCAGCTTTCTTCATCTTCTCAGATACTGGCTCAAAGTTCTGGAGCAGTTCATTAATGTTCTTAGTATATTGTAAGATCCTCTTGGACTCCTCGGACCATGAATTAGCAAAATGGTGGTTTGTCACAGAAGAAGAAAGGGGTTCTGGTTTGAAGTCTCTGGCTTCCAGCTGTGAACAGACTGAAGTAATTTTTTCTGTGGGGATCTGTGTCTGTAGTTTACCTCCACACAGGTCTCTTACTCTGTCCTGTAGATGTGCAGACAGTGTTGGCATGAACACCTCGGGATCAGCTAAATACACCTGGTCTTCAACAGGTGCCCCCGCGGGGAGGTTGCGCAGGTAGGTGCGATACAGGCTGTCCAATCTGGTGTCAGCTCTCAACAGGAAGGCAGGATTCAAGCTGGTGTAGTATTCTAGAACAGATCGGAAGAAGGGGTGTTTGGGCCGACACATCATGATGGCGCTGCTGGCCAGTCCGTTTCCCATGTTCTTCAGAAAGGCGTGAGGCAGAGGCTCCTGTGACAGGACACAGGGGTATCTGTTCACATACTCATCCAGTGGCTGAAAACTTTCCACATCTAAGTCTATATATACTCCTCCAATCAAGTACATGAAAAGATACTTCATCATCTCCATTCTCAAAGCATCTGTGCGCATGGCAGTAAATCCTTGATAACGGGGCTCCATACTCAACAGCTTTGGAAAATCATCCCTCACCCAGAACCACCGATCCCATGCTGGATGTGTCTCTGACCAAGATTCCATCCAAGGAGCAAACTGTGATGGGACCTCCTGGTCGTTCCATATGGTATGTAGAATTGCTGGTATTCCAGAACTGGACCTTTCTGAAATTGTTGAAGATCTTTTGACTTCAGGGAAACTATTGGCCATTGGTTCCAGTTGATATTGTTGTGGAGCTTGAGAATCCATTGGTTGCTGTACTGGTTGTTGCTCTGGAAATAGGATACTTTCCAGAGGCACATGTGCCAACCCTCCTGGAGCGTAAACGGGCACCTGTTGCTGCTGTAGTTGGTCCAGATTGTTAAATTGCTGCTGTGGTTGTTGCTCGAACTGATCCTGGTTGCCTTGCTGCTGTTGTTGCTGTATTTGTTGTAATTGTTGATTTAGTGACATTGGTGCATTTAATCCAAATTTGCTCTGCCCATATACCTGTGGAAAATCAGTTGTTTTTGCCAAAAACTCATTTGTTCCTTTACCAAGATTGGACAAGGAGTTAAACTGTAATCCTTTTATTCCGAATATATCAGAGTGGGACTTTTCTGAGTTGAAGTTTGTCATTTGATTTAAATTTTGTTGGTTGCCAAAAAAGGAGGACTTCTGCTGTTGGGAAAGTGGCTGCCCATATGGCTGTATAGGTTGACCTGCTGGTGGTATACCTTTGGAAAGAACTGTATTAGAACTGCCACTCATGGATGGAGAGCCGTTGGGGTCCTGTATGGACTGGCCAATATTTTGTACAGGCTGGGGTCCCTCGTTCTCCTTAGTCTGCGACTTCTGACTAAATTGTAAGATTTTAGCGTAAAGATCCTGTGCGTTCGGTGACAAGGGCGCGGGATTGCCAGAGTTGGCAAGATTTTTATCTTGAGATAAACCCTGGAATATGTCTACAGCAGGTTGATGTGCATTTCCCATAAGTAAGGGATTGCTCGTATTCTGAACTCCTTGAATAGCTGTTGTCTTGGTCACTGAATTATTGGAGGCCACTGGAAAGCTACGCATACGTCTGTTCAGTACCCACATAGATATGGTGAATTTCAGCTCCAGTGCAATTGAAATCCAGAAATACACTAAGACTACTGCCATTGTACTCCACGTCAAGAGACGAGATAAGGTAACTGTCTTTCCACTGTAAATAATATTTGGAAGGTTTTCTGTTATTACTATTATTAATCACGTGAAAATATGCTGGTCATAGTGATGATGAGGTACTTAAACACAAAGAAACATTTCTCTATTTTTCAAATAGTGTTGATTTTTAATAAAATGAGCTGAAATATAGAAAATGTGTTACAAAAATTTCCAACATAAAACGGGTTAAAATGGTTATTTTTAAAACGGCTTAAAAGGAGCTTCTTACCATATTCGTCTTTGTAAAACGGCCATTTTCTGCTTTAACGCTGTTCAGTCTTATATACTGATATGACTGTGAAAGCACCATAATATTAAATATTTATTTTCAACTGTTGGCAATATGAGGGCGAACGTTATCTCATGTAGGGCCTATCTATATAAAGTGTGATTGTGTTTGCTTGGCCACGGCTTCTCCCGACACAATGTCTTTCGGCTACAGTGTCAATCCAATGTGTGTCTGTCAGTGATAATTTCAAAAACATGATAAATGTACCTTTCAAACGTATTGTTCGGCGAAATTATCATTTTTTTTTTACAAATTTTCGAGAGCTTTGAGATTTCGTGAATATTTGCACGGGTTTCAAATTTTCAGTCCTTTGCAAATAGTACGTAACAATTAACAGCCACCATAAATTAATTGTAATAATAAAGTGTCAAAAATAGTTCACTTTTGTTCATCATTGTGACCAACGCTGCAAAAATGACAGTTTTTGGAAAACGGGGGTGGGGGGGGGGGATGCGTGCATATCATTTAGCGCCGACAAATGTAACTCAGAAATCAGGCTGTGAATATTTGACAAAGATACAAGTTGTAACCATCTTCTCAAGGACTTTAAATGACAGTGTAAATATGCTTTCAACCATAAATGTTGATATAAAATTTGTAAAACAACTTCTGATATAAATTATGTCACAGAATTATATGTCAGATGAAAGGTGGCCTAAAACTGTGAGTAAAAACGTAAGAGTTTTGGTTTAATTAAGAATCACACCTCTATACTCAAGGTATGACAAGGCGTGAACATGTGTATCAGGTTAAACAAGACATTTTCTTAGCCTGTACAACACCCTGCTTATTAGGCCTATATGTTATGCAATATTTCAGTTCACCCTTCGACATTTACATTATACACTTTGTCTGTAAAACGCAATAATAACCCGTTGGTTGAAATGTTAGGTAATACAAAATGGCATAGAATTATATTGCTTTGTTCAGTTCTATATAGTAAGGTGACAGACACTCTGCAGACAGACGAACGGGTAATGATTAGAGCGAACGAAAACTACGCGGTATATCACTTACATTTACTTAAAAATGACTACATTAATAGCCACTGAGGTTTGTGGGACAGAAACATCTGTTTTACCGGCAGTACACGTATTAGACAAATGTTTGAAAGTGACGTTAATAGGCAGTACAATGTTTACCCCCGATACTGTGTGCTTTAATAATCCTTTTAAGTGCCTTTCAAAATATCAAGAAGTGCTCACAGAGAATGGCCACATTAGTTGAAGGACACATCCATATCTGGAAAAATATTTGAAATCCCGTTAAGTAATACCCTCTACCAGGGCCGCAAATTATTATGTGCACTTTTCTCCAGCGCAATAAGATACAGTAGAGATTTGTGTTACGAATTAGCCGGGGGAATATCTGTGCTTTTTTTTTTTTTTTTTGTGAAAATCAATCTGTGGCCCTGGCAGAGGGTTGTTAAGTAACGCCATCAACTATTTGAACCATCGACTTCACAATTTGAAACTTTTTAAAGTTTTTTTAAGGTTTAGCTTACATCATTTGGCATTAAGCATCTCTTTATTTGTGCAAAAAGTTTGTTGACCGTGCTGTCAAGACGTTTTTCTCTTTCTAATGTCCCGACTGTTCCAAAGATAAAACTTAAGAATATGCTTTAATTTTCAGTATCAATATCTTACACGGACCAAATTTAAAGGTGGTATATGTCATTTTATTTTTATAGCTTATTTATATTATTTATTTTTAGCCATTTCAAAAGGGGGTAGGTTTTTTTATGGATTAATTAGCATAACACTTTCTTGTATCTAGATCAGTTTAATCAGGAGTTGTGTTTGTCTGCTGGTTAACTATAGGCCTGTAGCCCCTCCCCGCTGTCATATGACATATAGAATTTGAGTTGGGAGCTCCCGGTCTACGGTATCCTGTTCTACGTACGTTTTGTAATAGGGATGCCGGCAGCATACATGTAGGTGACAAGTAATAACGACCTGCTGGACCATGCGCACGTGAAAAAAGCCTCCAGCGATTCTGACAAAAATTAACGGGACTTTTAAGTCTTTAAAAATATTCAGTGATCTCATATTGTCCTCCCAGGCATGTTGACCTTATAATGAACAGACCTTTTTAAAACGATGAAAGAGGTTTGGAATTAAGAACTGCATACCGAAGGAACAGCGCCCTAATTTGTGTTATAATCCTTTCTTAATGATGCGCATTTGAATCGTGCGAAGCTTAGAATCATCATACATTTCTTGGATAAAATCATATTAAGCGTTTTGAAATATTCACCTTCTTGACAATTAAAATAAAAAATCGCATCTCATAATTAGTTTCAGCACGTTCTGTTTAGGACGACGTGCGATTATTATTTTTTTCTGTTTTTATTTATATTATTTTTTGCTCCCCAATTCTAATATCTAATACGTAATAAGTGAAACATAAGGTATCGACATTTCATGCGCCAATGCATTGCTTAATTTTTTCCTTATGTACATCGATCAAGCACGATATTCCATCACGTTTTACTTCACATTATCCCCTACATAACAGACATAATACATCATCTATATCTCTTAACCAAATTCCTAGTTCATTTTCCTTGATATTATCTCTGTTTTCCCAGAAATTCTATGCCTTGCGTCCCTATTCCCCGCCGAGAGCTCTCAGCTGAGCACACCGAATTGTGCTTGTCAGTTCATGGCTTCTAGATTCCCGGCGATTCCCTGAGCCAGAAGTATTTTTTTCTTCTTCCTGTTACTTCTTTTAAATATCTGAAATTAAGCCCAGGTGTTTATCAGTTGTATCAAACCAGCGTAACATTGTCGCGGCGTGGAGTATCGTAAAACTTTCACGGGGTACCGCAAGATGTTCCTGTTCTTAAAGCCGTCGAAATCGAGTCGTTTCCTGCGCAGAATCAAGCTAGGTTGTTTAGGTCATTTCACTAAATATATCGACCTGTTCGCTGTTGTGTGCTCAGGTATTTGAATAAATCCTGACTAACTATGGCGTCTTTTCAAAAGCTACATAGTTGACAGATCATGTGTTAAGCCTTAACAAAAGAAATGGCATTGTAAAAGAGGGCTGGGCGCGTTTAGGCTACGGGAACAAGAGGTCTTGCCCTTACGAAGCTTGCAATTTAAGTAAAACGACACCACAGGCCTTTGTATAAGTTTGGGCTTATTTTCTTTTGTTATGTTTATGAATCATGTGTATTGGAAATACATTCTAGTACGTTTGGGCACAGGAGTGGAGAGCGAACCACGCCCGAGGAGACTGCTTAGTTTTAGGCTTACTAAGCAAAGGTAGAATTACTCAAGAGACACGAAGTGACGTTTGTAGTCTACCAAGAGAATGTCCTAGAGGATACACCCAAATCTGACACTAGGACAGGCGTACAACTTTAATTTTTAAAGAAAGTTCGAGAAAATGGCAGGTGCAACACGGAAGTTACCGCTCTGCCTTCTTCTAACATGTGCCATAGTATCTACGGGGCTGGTAAAATCTGTAAGTATAAATTTCTAATAGGTACTAATGATAATTCAGACATGTTGCAATGTTTATTTTGAAAGAATTTTTGACAAGTTTATGTCATTATGAACGCTATTTCTACCGTTACCCGTCCTGGTTGTAGAAAGCGAGGGTGTGGTGTGCCGGTAGCGTGATGCAGTAAGCCCTACACTGATAGTTGGCGTGGGGACGTACTCGCTGTCCGTTTGCCGTGAGATTGGCCGCAAGGGTACCTTGTAGAAACTACGTGCAACAGATTAAAATATAGCGCTTTTTGAAAATCAATTTTATTGAATTTTGGAACTTTTGAACGCTATCCCAGTGATCAGGGTATGGTTGCATAAGTTTTAACACTGTGCTCGATAGGGGCCATCCTCGAAAGGTACACCTAATGGCGTCCCCACGTTTTCCACAATAAGGGAGAAGGGCGGGATTTACTTTGTTTTGTATTGTTTTATGCGCTTATTGAGTAAGAAGTGGGACTGAAATCTGCCGCCATTTTAATAATTTGTTGTAGAAAACAAAGGTGGGGGGGGGGGGGGTACCTCCCATGGGTCCGTAGGCCTACAGTGCCTGTGGCCTTTTGCCTATACGGTGTATAGGGCCTACTGTGTCCAGCTAGAAGAGGGGAAATTTAACATACCAACAAATTTAACTGAATTATAAGTGACAAATTTATATTTGAAGCTGGTTAAACGTTATTAGCATCAGCCCTCTGTCACTTCAAATAGATTTAAAGCGACATTCTTCATGCATATTGTAGCAAGATATCTCCACCCAAACAAAATCTCACGACTAGGTCTAATCAAGCAAATATAATGATAGGTAGGGTACGCATTAGACTACTGGATTAAATTTTACATTTTTACCAGCAAAATTTTTTCATCAAGAATACATTTACGGTTAGAAAACACCTTTGTTGAACTTGATTGCGTAATAATTTTAAAATATTCAAGATTGAGGAGGGGACACCCTTCCTGTGAGTTCAGTTTAGTGTGTTATGTCAATATTGTTAAGAAACAGACCCTTATTTTTTGTGAAAGGGGGACTGAGACCGCCCTGTCTCTCAATTTTGGACTAAATCACCGAGTACCAACAGTAGGGCATACCCGCCTGCCCCGAGGACTCCTTGTCAGTACACCACAGTGATTTTATATTTCCAAAAGGGACTTTTCCACCTAAACTCTATGAATATACAAATACCGGTTAAATAATAATTCATTAGTTGCTTATATCACAATTATGATAGTTTTTCCCCTCAATGCTGCTCGTTTTCTGTTTTATTCAAGATTAGGTTCAAACCTACTTTTTACTCTTTTGGCCTGTTTTAAGTTGTATAACAAGCATCGATTTTGATACGTGACGCCCCACCCATTGTCGCAGTAATTGCCTTCGCGGGTAAGATGGCTGTCATATGTATATGTTGATCTATCATCTGTAAACCACAGTGAGTATCGTGTAACAAGATTTTTGGACATTGCATTCCTCTATACTGCAGATTCCTTTATTTAGATGAACATAAACTGAGAAAAGGTTTGGCTAGTTCCGCCTTTAGAAAAACGTCAAGAATGTTTAATACATTATAGAAAACTATTTTTGAATGAAAATATACTCATTCATGAAAACTTTTAGTATAAAAATGCAAACTTTTTGGAAAGTGAAAACTAAAATTCTAACTTTTTACATTGGTTGTACAACAAATTTACAAGAAATTTTATTGAAGAACCAATCACATAATCCAGGCGGAAGATACGGTGTTGAAACTGGTGCTTGGTTGCGAACGTAAACAATAATTTTATATCATTAGACGAAAGGGTAGAACTACATAGATAACTGTAGATACTGCAGATAATCAACTATCTACAGCTACATGTGCTTAAAAAGAATACTGCATTTACGTAGATAGGTTTTGGCACAAACTTAATTTGATATAGTACTTACAATGGACAAAGTTTTGACTGTTTACATTGAAATTTATTGCCATTGATACTACATGTACGTGCATTTTGACATTCATTCACTTGCTACTTGAACTTTAAGTTGAAGTGTTAGGCAACTTAAAGTGTTTTGTCTAACTTACTAGATTAAATTAGCTTTTTCTGTGCTTAAAAGATAATATCGACAATTGTTCTGTGGAAATTAATTGTCAGTTAAAAGGTAACCGAGTCACATGCATACACAATGATGAGTAAATGCTATAATAATATTTATTAGTATATTTTTTATTGTTTTATTCAACATATTAAATACCATTTTATACTTCTTGTCAAGAAATACCATACTTGTTATCTTAATGATAAATTGTATCTTAATTACTTGTGTCTTTGGTATTGGTAATGTGAATATTCTCTTCTCTTTTCAGAATGACTTCAACTTTGTTTGTCCACAAGGTAAGTTTTTTACCTGATTAAAATGTTTGAATATTAGTCTACTATGTACAGTCAGAACAGAATACATGTGCTATGTAATTTAATTAAAAACATGATTAAAAAGTTGGCAGCAAATGTGGATATGTTTGTGATGTACTAGTAATTCTACTGTAGTAAACCAGTAAATACCTCAAATTAAGATATGAGGTAAATGTAGAATGGACAATAAGCCTTTTAAAAAGATAAACATTTTTGATAAAACTATAAAAAAGACTAGCTAAAGAACATGAAAAATGTATATTAACTCAAATGAAAAACATGTCCTAGTAAAAATTGTTATAAGACTTTCAGAAAAATGTATATTTGTATAGCCAATCTAAAAGCTTCAAAGAAATGCAATCAATTCCAAATGAAGAAAATGAAGTGGAAATGAAATATATTAGCAGTATTTACATGTTTCATACCATTAACTATTTGTTGAGTTGTGATGAAATTCAAGCATTGTAAAGTATCAAAGGGTGTGTGCTTGCCATTGGGGTGGAGTGTCATGAAATATTGACTCACTAGTTGAAAAGTTCACACAGCACAATAGTCTCTGGATAATGGGTTACAATTGATATTGATTTACTCACAGAGCTGCACATGTAGGTTCATGTACATAAAAGAAGCACTTTTGGAATGTCATGATCTTTTACAACTATGATTAATTGAGATTTATGCTTATTTTGGGAGGAATTTTATATTCAAATTTCAAGCTACCTGTTCGTAAACTCTGTTATTGTGGCATGCTTACCCAAATAAAAAAAGGAATTTAGCGAATTCTGGAGAAGGAACACATAAAAATGATACCAAATATCTAAGGAAGATGGAAAAACACATTTCCCAGCCTGAGGCCATAAAAGTTAAAGAATTTTTATCACTGTAGCTCTCTCTTGGATTGAATCTAATCAGACAATAAGGCAGTAGACTAGCTTATAACTGATTTGACTGATCTTAAATGTAATGTCACAATGAAAAACAAGGTGTTGGTCATCCTCAACAAAAGTAAACCCACTAGTACTCAGTATATATCTTAATGTCTTTGGGAAAACATTTGGAAAGGGTAAAGTATATACATGTAGCTTCTTCTAGATGAGTGATCAATATGACTAGGTTCCCATGCCTAGATCGATCCATCTGGATCAGTCTAACTCCCTGGGGGTCTTACTAAATTGCTATCAACTAACCAGCTTAAATGTCTGCCACGCCTCCCGAATCAGTTAGGGGGTAAAGATAATTACCCCCTTACAGCTTTACTAGGCGTGACAGACATATCAGCGGGTTAAGTCGATAGCAATTTAGTGAGACTCCCCAGGGAGATAGGGAATGGTCCCTATGATTATAACCAGCCTTAGCATAGGAGATATGAGACTGAACTCTAGAAAGCATCAAACAGAGAGAAGAAATACATAACAGAAACCTGTGTATCATACAAAATAAGAAAGAATCCTAGCCTCATAATTTTGGTTTTTATAAAGTCACTGTGTTGAATCCAGCTGTGTCCCTGTTAAGGTTACAGTAAGGAACTGCACAGCATTAAATCTGGTATCAGGAGGTGTTTCTAATCCTGTTATCCCTGCCGCGTTTCAGGCAGTAGCAGTCCACACTCATCAGTTCAGTATATAAAGAACATACACCAAGTATACCCATAAAGCCATTTCAGAAGGAATTAATGGGTGAAACTCATCTGGTTGGACAGGCATACATTGTAGCTGGTCGGAAAGGATTTGTTTTTGAGTATTTTATCAGTGACACCATCTGGAATAATGTCACCATTAAAACATGTGTGGCAATTTAGCATTGGATGTGATATATGGATTGCTTGATATACATGTACATTGAATATTGATGTTTATTTGTTAGTTTGGATGTATTTATTTCAAGAGGAAAAGAATAAATTACCTTAATGTGTGAAATCATTAGCAGTGGAGTGGGGATTGGGGGATTAGGGGAGGATCCAGCTTTTCACTGCCAGTTTTAAGGAGAAAAAAGTGCCATATTCAAGGTCCGCTGTTGTGACTACAGCGTAAAAAAAAAAAAAAAAAATATATATATATATATATATATATATATATATATATATATTTAAATAAGACAAGTGTTCTCCCAGGCAAACAGTTTGTATACATGTACAAATTTGTTATCAAGAGGTAGAGTGATCAGGTATCAATCAGAGACTTGAGTGGAATAAGATAAAGTCAGTGAAATTTTTTTCTGGAAGATATGCATGTATACACTTACACACGCTGTGTGAAAAGTGCTTTTTTTAATGCAGGTGTTCTCTTTATTAATTTTTAAATATTTCATTTAAACAAAGCTTTCCTGTCTGTCCTAGTTAATGGCTTACAGTTAAAGAGATCAGTGACATTTGTGCTTGGTGTAAATGAAAAAAGTTGAGCTGTGATTTTGTTTAATTTTTTATTTATTAATTTATGTATTTTATTATTTTTGGAAGGAGGGGGAATGAGGGTTGTGGAATTAGGAACTCCATCTTCATAAATCTGCTCTTTTTTCAACTTCTGTAAATTTCCAGCCATCTGATCCAGACACTATATCCCTGTGTAGAACCACAAGGAAGGAGATCAGATTAATACTACATTTGTACACGTATGTAGGTATAATGAAACACTGGGACAGAAAGATGTCTGGAATCTCTAATGGCTTCTAAAGATTATCTCGAGTTGCCCAAAACTCCCAGAATGTAGACATCAGTCTAATTAATCTGGATTCCCTGCAATGAAGTTTTGTCTGTGGAAATAATGATATCAATCTGGATATATTCACTGGTTTTTAGGTATGCATCTGGATACTTTGTCATCTTATACATAGCCCTTTAGAAATTACACATTTTCTTGACATAAGCGACATTTGGGATAATTAATATATGTTATTACTCCTTATATATTATTTAACCCATGTTGTTTGGTTCACTTTATATCATTTGTAGCATTATCATAAAGAATTATAGATAGATTTAAGCATGACAGAGACGCACAGCTTCGCTTGACTTCCCACTTTATATTTTTTTGCCTTAAAAAATGAGGTACGTGTAACTCAATTGTTAGAGCTGTATCACCTTTCCATGATGGTGAAATCTAACCCTTATTATGCAATGTCAACACCAGGTATTCCAGAATAACATGGAAATCCTGAGCAGTTTATGGCTTTTGTGTATTATCAGTGCCATATTAGTCATGAAACCAACTCTTTTCAAACCCGTGCTTGTTTTTAGTCAGAACCTGACTGGAATGCTTGCCTTCATATCACATTAGACACGTCCCCACTTGTTCTTAATTTTGGTCATTGATCATTTTGTTTTATGTAATCACTTAATAACTAAGTTACATTGATTTTATGAGAGATGAATGTGCAGTTAAGCAGAAGTAATAGGCACTTAAAGTAAGTGCAGATCATAACATCTTGCGATGAAAGAAGGGAAAAAACAAAGAACAGCAACACAGTATTCCCTTTGATAATGGAAATATATGGCTATATTTAACTTGGAGAAGCATTGAACTTTGCCTTATCCCCAGTCAGTCCAGGTAAACAGAGGGTTGATCAGGTACATCTCCTGCAATAAACTGTGAGCTGTATGGCGTTCTCTGGGGTAGTGCTGTTTTTTTGTTTTTTTTTCTTAGCCAAATCACTACTTTTACCTCACTTTTTTCTCCAACTGGTCTACTAAATTTGACTGAAACAAGTCAAACCAACCCTATTTTGTTTAGCCAATTTAAGTGTGTTTTAGCATTTGGCTTAATTGGTGAGTGTTTGTGCTACCCCAGGTAAATATCGTAATGAAAGTAAAATGGGCCTTACCTCTCCCTGATGAGGTGTTATGTAAGCAATTTTCTCTGAGAGCTGAATATCAAGCACATCCATCACTTCACCTGTCTGAATTGCTCAGAATGATTCCATGTCAGCTAGCACACTTGAGCTCAAATGAGAAGTTGTCATAGGAGATATTAATAAACCAAAGGCTGTTGATGGAGAGTTCTTTGATCTCCTCCTTATCTCAGCACACAAGGGCTGGTAATTTTTTTTTTCATAGTTATGTCAGAGAGGAGGCAAGGACGCACTTTATTAAAACTTTGCCTTAGTGATATTATTGAGTATGCTCTTCACTTTTTCTTTAGTCAACACGCCAAATACCAAATACCATAGTTGTACATACACACATGCTTGCACATTTACACACACACACACACACACACACACACACACACACACACACACACACACACACACACACATGCATTCATACTTTGTATATCTAATATTTAAATGGTCATTTAGTCACCTGTTCTGAGAGAGGAGATGGTTGTTTTGATAGCCTCTACCTCAGGGTTCACATGGTTGTATAGCCAGTAATATGGGTAGTTAATTAGAAAAAAGTTTTTGTTTAAAGAGAAATTATTTGGAATATCCAATGAATATTCATAGGCTTATGATTCTTCAGTGATATTTTTAAACGAGGTTTCTTCAGTAGAACGAAAAGGAGACAAATGGCATCATGTTTAAAAGAGGCAAACATACATTGTAACGTGAATAGCTTTGACACTTTGATTCTTCACTAAAATCAGTCATAAAAAATTAGATTCTCAACTTTAACTAAAACACACCATTTTGCTATTGTAAATGAAATGCACCCAGGTGTCCAAGGTTACCAGAGCATGTCCCAATACTTGGTTTTACCAGTGTTTGGGACCATTCCCAAACCCTATCGTACTAACTGTGGATCGATCTATCTCCGAGCGGATTCTCGCTCAATCGCAACCAAATATTTTACATATTTGTAAAGTTTGTTGCTTTGTTGGTTGTACCACAGTTTCTCCATACATTTCTGTTTTCTCTTTAGGCTGGCATCTCTATGAAGGTGACTGCTACCAGATAGTTGTGACTCCTTTAACATGGAGAGACGCCAGGGACTCCTGCAGGAGGTGAGTGTGATCAACTTCATCACTATCACACAAACAATAAAATACATTGTGTATGGCTTTCTATCAAAAATTACAATTGTACATGTAATGATTAAAGAGTCATTTAAAGAAAATGATTACTTATTTGTTTATTTGTTTATTTATTTATTTATTTATTGGTAGAAAAGACTAATATGTCATTACATTTTTGTGTAATCTCCGCTATATCTAAGAAATTCAACAAATCTTCTTCAAATGCATCTTTGTTCAATTGTACTTTCCAGTTATGGTGCTGAATTGGTGACTGTCAAAGATTCTGTAAAGAACTCAAAAGTGGGAGAATTTTTCAAAGCTGCAAGCAATGAAACATTATTTTGGATTGGTGAGTACATGTACATGATTGTTTTTATACAGATAAGGGTAATATCCCCAGGGCAAATACTGTACTCATGTATAGCATAGTAATTCAAGGTTGAAGATAAGGTTGGAATACAAAACACAATAGCAAAGTAGTATAATTTTTTTCGCCATTGTTGCAGACACACCTTATGTGGTGAAGTATTGGATGTGTATTTGCTGAGGGTGTTCCTTGTGGTCTACCCTCTTCACTAATATGAAAACTACATTTTTATGGCTTGGATACATTTTCCTGTACAGAAAGGCCTGGTCCCTTCATCAGCTATTTTATACTAGCACTATATATTACACCAACTTTCAGCTTTTGTAAATCGACCCAGCTTAATCCCCAGACGTCTTGAACTCAGAGCAATGTAACAAAGGTTTGATTCAAAAGCACTCGGCAGTAAAAGGTTTTATACCTGCCCTTGCTGTTCAGGCCATTGTAGTTGATTGGAGAGATGTGTTAAGAATACACCTGTAATTGCTCACCTGGGCTACAGGTGGAGCTCAACAGGATGTTATAGAATCTAAAGGATCTTATTGTACTGTAAAGATAATATAGAGGGGATAGTCACACCAAATGAAATTCAGAGATCACGAAATAAAAGAGAACTATAAACACAGACATTATGATTGTAAATGATTTTTTTGTTACTCTACTCAGTATGTATGCGAGTTTCAATTTATATTTCTTTGGCCATAGAATGAGTTTACCAGAATGAAGCAGTAGAATATTCCAGAAAAAATTACAAAACTGCTGAATATGGCCAATTCTTGATATCCATGCCTTGATGCCAATGTGTTCAGTCACAGAAATTTGATATACAACAATTTAAACCACAACATTCACTGCACATTGATGAACCTCTTTTAAAAATAACTTAAAAACAAAGGACATTTTTAGTTAGATTAATTAGTTCTGCCTATATAGATGTCACTATGTTGCAAGAAATTTCTATGCTTTTTAAAGAATGATATTTATCATCATGATTGTAAAGAATGGTTCTATCATAGCTCATGTCTCTGTCTGTGTCCAGGTTTAATAAGGCGGGACAATGTCCCAGTGGCCAATGCCTCCAATGCCATGTGGGCTGACAGCCGGGACTGGGACCTTAAGTGTGGCTGGTGGAGTGCGGGACAGCCCAGTGTGGACAACATGGGCTGTGTTGCTACGCGTATCCATGGCTCATCTTACTCCTGGGAGATGGCTCCGTGTGGCAGCAAGGCAGGCTCCGTGTGTCAGAGCGCAGCGTGCGCTGCAGGTGAGTGCTTACAAGAGGCCCTGTGTTGGATATACATGTATTTCACATTTTCCTGGCAAAAAAAGTTGAATTAAAGTTCTCCCCTAAATATTTAACCACAACACTTGTTTCAAAATATTTGTCATTTCTTGGTTTTTAATGGAAGGCATGTACTGCAGACTTTTCTTAGGTCAATATACACTGAGATTTTGATTACGGTACTTTGTGAAATATAATGATGTTTGAAATTTTATTGCTTCATATTCTCCTGAAACTATGAATTTTTTTTTTGCGTTGTTAGTGATTTTCAAGTACTATTATACCCCTACTTGCAATGTATACTTTTGATATATTTTCATTGGTTCTTTGTTCAATGTTATTAACCATCTTTCTTTTCTCAAAACTCAGGCATGTTCCGCTGCGCTAACAGTTTGTGCCTCAATGGCAGCGTGGAATGCAATGGGATGGATGACTGCGGCGACGGCTCTGATGAGATGAACTGCCGTAAGTTGTCTTTATTGCTGTCATAAAAGTCTCCATATTAATTGAAATAGCCTGAGATTTCATAGAGGTAAATGCACAGCTGGGTTTAATATATTGTATTTTTAAATCATTTCTGGTTGGCACATGGTGTTAAATAAGTTAATTCTTTTGAAGTGAAATAAAGTATCAGTAGATATGGTATTCAACATTCCAATGTCTTTTAAAACATGATTTCAAAATCATAAAGCTTTCAAATGTGTGTATGTCATTTTAATAATTCACAGCATCTGAGTGCACTCATGAACTCACTGGTGAGTCAGGAACCCTGATGAGCCCTAACTATCCCAGTAACTACGAGGCTAACAAGTTGTGTACATGGACCATTGTGGGAGATGTCGGCACTAGGGTGTCGCTAAAGGTAGGGGGAGGAAAACATGTATTTTATTACATATAAGTCTGTTTAAAGTTTAAATATAAATGTAAAGGTGAAATACTTTTAATAAGTGTAATGCTACATGTGCCCATATACTTTTTTTACCATTTTTTAACAGGACAGTTCAGCTAAGTAAGAAAAATCATTTATACATTTCAGTTTGATGAATTTGACACGGAAAAAGATCAAGACTTTGCAACTATATATATTGGTGGAAAGACAGAGAACTCCAGCATGGAGTTGATGACCTTGACCGGACAGCCAGACGTCCGTCTGCCAATATTCAGCACCAACAATTTCATGATTGTCAAAATGAGCACTGATAAATCTGTGCAGAAAAAAGGGTTCACAGCAACTTGGACCTCAAGTATGTTGATCATGAGGAGTTATGAAAAGAGCCTGCATGTTACTTTCTTTTCTTTTCTTTCTTTCTTTCTTTTTCTGAAAGAAAAATTTAAACTGTAGCAAATGGTGCAAAAGCTTCATGTTCTTTGAGTTTAGTATTTGAAATATATGTACACCAGTACTTCCCTTCCCCCAATGTCTTATCTATCAACAAATATACCATGATTTTATTTTATCATTTCCTTCCAGAATTCCAGTGTGATATGTACATGCTGGAGAAGAGGATGCAGATGATGGAGGGTTATATGGCCATGAATGTCACCAATCCTGACAGCTGTGTGACAGCTTGCTTGAATGACACCCAGTGCAATGCCTTCAGTTATCAGAAAGATACAAAACAGTGTGTGTTCCATAACTCATTTGGAAGCTTCATGGAAACTGAGGGCTGGGACTATTATGTCAAGAGTTGTCCTGATACAAGAGGAAAATCTGGTATGTTTTTATCCCAGCTCTAAGAATGTGACCCTGTAATATACTTTTATGTAGAGATGTATACTAGAAAATGATTCACTGGAATCCCTTAACAAAATGAAAAGTTTGCAGCAATATTGTTGCAAAATGAAAGTTTGGGGCAATTAGTTTGCAGGAGTTTGCAAGAAAATTTTTTATTGCTGTTTATTTAAATTTGCTGCAAATTTGCAAGAAGGAATCGTAGTTGGCAGCAATATTGCAGCAAATTTGCCTGATATTTTCCGAAGGGGTTTCTTTGGTTTTTTATTAGTACATGTACATTACCCAGTTATCTGTTTTCAGACAGGGTATAATCAATATATTTATAATCTGAAATTACTATCTTGACATTTAAATTAATCTGTTATACTTGAAATGGTGTCTGTTTCAGAAAAAACCTTGGCTCAAAGCCACTCCTTGGTGGCCAGTTCTACCCCCATGTTACTGGTGTCGCCCCTGTACCCCATAGGATACATGCCAAGACTGGCAGTGACATGGCTGATCACAGCGGGAATTAGACAAGTTATCACACTACAGGTAAATGTTGGGAAGATTAGAACTTTTCAGATCATTATTGGTTTATGTTTTTTTCTTTATACATTGGTGTGAATGTATATATGTTTTGGAATAAAGAAACCCACCATAGTTGTTCATGATGTGTTAGAAGATTTAAGATGTTCCTCATGCTCAATACAGCTTTGTGTGTCTACCACTGAAATATATTAGAAATATAATGACATTGCCAAATTTCAATTGTTTCCATATCTTATCTGCTTTAAATATTCTGTTTAGGTGTTGGACTTATCACTGGCAGATGATGACTACATCCAAGTCAGGGACGGATCTTCTCTGTCCTCGGCGCTGCTAGCAGAACTACGTATGGAGCGGAAGGACGTGTATGTGGTGTCCACGGCTGATAAGATGTTTGTCTCCATGGTAACACATACTAAGAGAGGCAGAGGAATGCTGGCTCGTTATAGAGAAGGTAAGGGGCACCACAGATGTTCTACTTTTAAGAATTCCTGACCATAATCTGTTTTACATGGTGAAGATAGTATTCTTTATGGCAATTCCTGTGTCATTGAAGGTAACGAGTTTATATGTAGTCAGAATGAAAATTTATGATGAAACTTATTCTCTGATTATTTGTATTTATTTTGAATACCAGTTTTTTGCATAGGATCTTAATATTTTAATGTGATTGAAGCAGTATGCTGTCTGACAGAGTTCAGGGGCAGATCCAGAGCTATTTTCTGACAATCTTCTAAATTAGCTTTGTTGATCCATCCTCCATTTTTGACCGTCTTCCGACAGAAAAAAAGATAACCATCAATTTAAACTTGAAAATCTGACCATCTTCCGGAAGACTTAGAAGACTGCCTCAATCCACCCCTGGAGTTTACATTTTATTATTATAATTAAATGTAGTATGCTTTGTAATTTAAGGGTGCAACGTCAGGATGAACAAAACTTCAGGCATGTTTCAATCCCCTGGTTATGGTGTTGTCAACTATCCCAGCAATCAGAAATGTGTCTATCACATTGGTAACCCTGACAACAGAGCTATGACAGTCATGTTTGATGGAACATTTGGCATTGACCGAACAGACTCTCTCTCGGTAAGGGGGCTGTTTAGTTGTATACAACCTAATCAGTTGTAGTTGAAAAGAGCATGCTGTACACATGTTACAGTTTTTATGTGAAAAACCTTTTGGGATCTAATATTGGCCATTAAATTTTACATTGCTTACATATTGTGTAGTTTTATCTAGTGTTACATGAAATGTGTTATGAAATGTAAAAAAAGAGGAATTGTTTGATTAATTGTTTTGTTAAGGTAGAGGCTTTTCCTTGATAAAAAGTATTTTAATTTCCACTTTCAGTTTTATGATGGTCCAAATGCAGCAGCACCACTGTTGGAAATTTTCTCTGGTACAAACACTCTCCCCAGTCCAATCATCACCATGGCCAGTGTACTCCATGTGGAGCTCATTACTGGCACTATCAGTAATGATGTTGGATTCAGTGTACATTTTTCTGCTGGTAAGTTTGTCATGAAGATAGAAATGTATCGTTTAAAAACTGCAAAAAGCTTGTTGCAAATCCTACAATCTCTATACAACACTAGTTGATCATCAAGAGAGCAAATCTCTAATGTTTTTACATATTTGCAAACTGTATTTAGTTCATCTTTTGCCTTGTTCAGTACTGAAATGATAAGAGAACAAGATATTTTAAGCGGCTTAAGTTCATGTGATACTTTGAGTGATGCTATGGATTACAGAAATTTGATACTTTAATATGTGGAGTTATTCTTCTCCTGGTTTGTCATATTCAATGCATTTTCAACAAGCCATATTACCCAAGACCTTTCTCTGATTGGTTTATAAAAATCAGATTAAAAAGTCATCTACCATTGTTTTCAGCCTGCCCTGACCCTGGCTTCAACGCAGAGACCAGTGTGTCACCCAGTGGCCCCCCTGTTACCTACATGTCAGAGTTGACTGTGTCCTGTCCATCAGGGTATGAGTTTCAGCACGACGCCTATGTCAACATGACCTCAGTTGCAATGAAGTGTGAACTGAATGGAAAGTGGAATGTGACTATTATACCCCAGTGTAAACGTAAGTCTAGGATTCAGTGTTGTGATGTCTGAAATATGAAAAGCATTTGTGAATGTAGTGGAGATAGCAATGAAAAATATCTGCAGCATGTGTAAGTTGGAAATTGAATATGTGGAAAAAGGCAAAATGAAAACATATTTATGATTTGATAAAGATGCCCTTGAGTATCATATTCAAAATTCACTCCTACTCAACATGATTCCTTTCTCAAAGTCAAAATTTCTCAGCATGTTTCTCCATATTTTAGCCAAGTATTGTGGCCTGCCACCTAAAGTGACAAACGGATTCGTCTTGTCAACCACTGGAGTCACATACAATAAGATGGCGACCTATGAATGCTTTGGTGGCTACAATCTCACAGGACTGGTATCCATCGCCTGTCAGGCAGATGGGACATGGCAGACAGCACCAACATGTCAAGGTGAGATTGAGATCAGATTTTCATCTTCTCCTACATAGGGTTGTATATATTGTAATATTTTGGATGAATGGCTTTTAATCACTAGATTCAAAATGAAATTTGTGTACGTTCAAAAATGACTTATTACTCTTTTCAGTGGGGAAATAGTTCATTTTACTTGTATATGAAAGTGTAATTTTTTAAGTCATACATTCTTAAAATGGGAGCATTCTAACTGAGAAGTAGCAAAAAAGCTATATTTTTATTCTATGCAGTAAATGGACCACAAATGCTATATAGAAATATGATTGTTTTGATTCCAAAATTATGGATCTGAAGGATTGCTCATTTAAAAGATCAAATCATTACAGTACTTCTAAGCTTAATGTCAAAATTCCATGACTTTCTATTTCACAGCCTCCTCGTGTCCTGTGGCTCAGAACATCAGCAACGCCAAACTAGAAATCCTTAGTGGAGACGGCACCGAGTTCACCAGCCTGGTCAAGTATACGTGTAACCATGGTTACCAGATAGTGGGCGTGCCTTCCTTCACCTGTCTGTCCACAGGACAGTGGTCCAGTCCACAGCCCTCCTGTGAAAGTACGCACCTGGGAGTTCTTTATTATGGGAAATTATGAATTGGAATAGTGCAATAAATTAAATACTTGAACAAACTGTGGTTGGGAGGGGATAATGCAGCTCTTTTTTTTTTTTTTTTGCCCTAGTTATCCTTGATGGGTTATTAGTATCACTCTAACAACTAAAATTCCAAGATATGCCATTTGTTATGTATGGTATCATTTTTATTTTGTGCAGTATCCTTGAAAATTCATCAATTTTCTTTGCTCCCAGGGTTGGAATGCTGTAACTTCCCAGAGATCAAACATGGCAGCTTGTCATATAGCTCCCCAGTGAGATATGAGGACAATATCACTATTAACTGTGACACTGGGTACACACTGGATGGTAACAATACCCTGGAGTGTAGGGGAGACAGGACATTTGACCAGCCCCCTATGTGTATAGGTAATAGCAAAAGTTGTGATAATAATTATTTTAAAAAGTCTGTATCAATTCCGTAATAATGTTTATTTTAAAAAAATGTTTATATCAGTTTTGTAGTAATACTTAATTTTAAAAAGTGCCTGTATTTATTTAAACCTATATTAAAATTTAAAGGGTCATGTACCATTTTTCGGTATAAAAAGCTTAACTTGTGCAGTATTGTATCTGAGCAGTTTTCCCACATACCCAGTACTTGTGTTATCTGAGTAACTCCCCTGTCATTGCAGATGTTGATGAGTGTGCCAGTAATAATGGTGGCTGCTCCTCCAGCTGTAAGAACACCAATGGTAGTTATGTCTGCTCCTGTCCTGATGGCTACAGACTGGCAGCAGACAAACACAGCTGTGATGGTAAGATGGATACAATGTTACAAAATGTAACTTTCTTTCTGCAAAGATGCAGTAAAATGGATACTTTGTGTCAAAGTGTAGCATTTATCCTGTAAATTAAGATGCAGTAAAATGGATACTTTGTGTCAAAGTGTAGCATTAATCCTGCAAATTAAGATGCAGTAAGATAGATACAATGTTTCAAAGTGTAGCATTTTTTCTGGAAAGCCTTAATATTGACTACATGTTTTATGTAGGTTGTTTCTCATGCTNTGGTTGGGAGGGGATAATGCAGCTCTTTTTTTTTTTGCCCTAGTTATCCTTGATGGGTTATTAGTATCACTCTAACACCATACATAACACTCTGTTATGTATGGTATCATTTTTATTTTGTGCAGTATCCTTGAAAATTCATCAATTTTCTTTGCCTCCAGGGTTGGAATGCTGTAACTTCCCAGAGATCAAACATGGTAGCTTGTCATATAGCTCCCCAGTAAGATATGAGGACAATATCACTATTAACTGTGACACTGGGTACACACTGGATGGTAACAATACCCTGGAGTGTAGGGGAGACAGGACATTTGACCAGCCCCCTATGTGTATAGGTAAGCTTAATACACAGATATCCAGCTTCCAATGTGTGTATAGGTAATAGCAAAAGTTGTGATAATAATTATTTTAAAAAGTCTGTATCAATTCCGTAATAATGTTTATTTTTAAAAATGTTTATATCAGTTTTGTAGTAATACTTATTTTTAAAAAGTGCCTGTATTGATTTAAACCTATATTACAATTTAAAGGGTCATGTACCATTTTTCGGTATAAAAATTAAGCTTAACTTGTGCAGTATTATCTGATCAGTTTTCCCACATACCCAGTACTTGTGTTATCTGAGTAACTCCCCTGTCATTGCAGATGTTGATGAGTGTGCCAGTAATAATGGTGGCTGCTCCTCCAGCTGTAAGAACACCAATGGTAGTTATGTCTGCTCCTGTCCTGATGGCTACAGACTGGCAGCAGACAAACACAGCTGTGATGGTAAGATGGATACAATGTTACAAAATGTAACTTTCTTTCTGCAAAGATGCAGTAAAATGGATACTTTGTGTCAAAGTGTAGCATTTATCCTGTAAATTAAGATGCAGTAAAATGGATACTTTGTGTCAAAGTGTAGCATTTATCCTGTAAATTAAGATGCAGTAAAATGGATACTTTGTGTCAAAGTGTAGCATTAATCCTGCAAATTAAGATGCAGTAAGATAGATACAATGTTTCAAAGTGTAGCATTTTTTCTGGAAAGCCTTAATATTGACTACATGTTTTATGTAGGTTGTTTCTCATGCTGATATATTAATGGACTAGTCTAGATTTTCATTGTGTTATTAAAAGAACATACAATGTAAATACATACAACACCAATATGACAGTGTTAAATGTATGTAACCAGACTAACAGAATGTAACTTTCTTCTCTTTCTGTTATATGTGGTTTATCATATTTTCATATCCATGAAAAGTATAAAACCTAAAGTTAAGATTGCAATGCTGTTCAGAATATCACTCATGTATTCATTGTATTTTTGCCTTTCTCTCTCAGACATAGATGAGTGTTCAGAAGGCACCAGTGGTTGCACACAGATCTGTAACAATGAACTGGGGTCCTACAACTGCTCCTGTAACACCACAGAAGGCTACGTCCTGTACACCACCAATGGCACAGAGATGTACTACATCCCAGACATCGAAACTGGACTGAGAAAGGGAGACTCCTACCACATCAACCACACTTGTGTTTGTGAGTGTTTTTTTTTTTTTAGTCGTTCAGAAGTTGACTGTAGTAGAAACAGTAATTTATTGTTTTACTGTACAGGTAGAACATGTGATTTGTACAGGCCCGTAGCCAGCAGTTGCCAAAGGGGGTTCCTTTTTCTGGAAATGTGGACCTTTTGTCATGAAACCTTAGTTTACCTAGGTCAAATTTACTCACAAGGGGACCTTTTCCCAGCAAAAAGGGGGGCTCTTTCGAACCTCTTGAACCCCCCCCCCACCCCCCCACCCCTGGTTACGGGCCTGATTGTATTTAAATCATTATGACTTTCTGACTTGAGGATAGATCAAAATCTATAAATAAGCCATGTATTGATAACAACTGCTTGGCCACCACACAGTATCCCTTCCATTAATTAAATTCTCAAAGCTGGCACACTGGGTCTTCTTCTTCTTATCAAGTTTCTTTGAATTCCAGTGCGCATGTGCCCCTCACCTGCCAATGCCATCATCAATGGCAAGTTCCTGTCAGGGGCATACATCTTCCGTGTTGGTGAACGTGCCAGCTACCAGTGTGACCTGGGCTATGTGATGGACGGGTCAACCTCCATGACATGTGGTGCTGATGGACAGTGGATTGGAGAGCCACCTAGGTGCAATGGTAATACATTGATGATCATACATACACACATGCATTTTCACAAGGTGTTAGGTGTTAAATGGGAATATTTTGAACCATAGAGGTAGTTGAAGCATAATTGTTTATAATCATTCTTATAATTGTACTTCAACACAGTGTTTATTTTCCCATGTAAAACTATATTTGAGCCTTAAGCTTGTAATAACATAAATCATGTAACAGTATATTAAATACCAGTATATAAGCTATTACATACAGTATTTATAAGAAACAAATGTTTAATTTCTTGATAAATATCATAGTTCAGCATTGAGGTTGATTATTTTCCTATTAATCCCCAGTTGCCACTTGTCCCCCACTTAACCTGACTGGTCTGAGTGCCCCCCCAGTGGTCAGTCCCAGCTCAGCTGTACCCTATATGTCAGTGGTCAATATGACCTGTACAGTGGACGGCTACAATGACCCAGTGGTCAGAACCAGGCAATGTCTCTATGACAGGACCACCAATATGTACAGACTGATGGGAGACAGGCTGGAATGTCCAGGTATGGAGGAACAGGGCTTTGGATACTTTGTATTACATTGTATACTTTTTGTAACATTTTATTGGGTAAAATGTAGGAAATGTGTGAAGTAATTATCATGTTATACTTTAAAACCTTGCATATAAGATTTTTTATATATATTTGGTAGATTAGATTAGATTAGATGGCTTGTTTTATGGATTGTTATTTGGTTTGTTATTTGGTTTGTTATATAAGCTGTTTTATAATCTGTATGGTTTCTTATACAATTTGTTATATGAACTGTTATGTTTTGTTACAGTAATTGACTGTGGAGACCCTGGTGTCATTTCTGGCTCTAACTACACAGTGGGTGGAACCAACTTTGGGGATTCATTCACCTTTGTCTGTAGTCGTCTGAACACCCTCCAAGGACAGTCCACCATGGGTGACCATGTGGTCCGCTGCAGGAACAACTCCCGCTGGGACTTTGGAGACTTGGCCTGCAAAGGTAAGGAAGACAGAGGGGTGAAAAAACTTGTGTATTGTTTCTTCTATTGCTTACTGTTGATGTTTACATTTCCAGTAGTAATTACCATGCTTGAGTACCCTAGGTTTATGTGCTCACACTACATACAGTGAGCTGCAGAAAATTGATTTACTTGCTAGAATATATTTTTCTGGAGATTATGCATGTATTCATATTCATTTATTGTTAGACATAGTCTATACATTGTATAATAGATTATCTACATTGTTATATATATATTGTACACATTGTTAAATGTATTAGCAACATTATATAATATAGTTTGTATATAACTGTTAACCTATTCTCCAGGTGACACGTGTCTTGACCCTGGTCGTCCAGCTGATGGCTATCAGAACGCCACCAGGTACGAGCAAGGATCTCTGGTCACGTACACCTGTCTCCGTGCAGGGTATGAGCCCCGTCCTGAGTTCCCACTCATGTGTATCGTGGTGGGAGATAAACTGCAGTGGAATGCATCTGTCCCTACCTGTGAAGGTGAGTTGAAGTTTTCAGAAGTAATTTGATATATTTAACCACAGTGCAGGGGGTGATTTTTCCCTAGATATAGCTGTTGCTTTAGTTTTTTAATTTTTTTTTTTTTTTTTGGCATTCACCTCTGTGTCTTAGACAGCACTTAATTTGCTTAAATTGATATTCTGTTAAGTAATATATCAGTGTCGTCTAATTTAAATTATTCTATTCTTTTAAAAAGATGTGGAGTCACCACAGTTAATGAACTGCCCCCAGGAGGTGATGTATGTGAAGAAGTATTACGCTGCTGGTATCATCCCACCGTCTGCCACTGACAACTCAGGCATGGCCACCGTCACCGTCAGTCCCGCCACCTTCCTGCCAAACCTGACCCTCACTGAGCCTGTCAATGTCACCTATACCGCCACTGATCCATCAGGCAATGCCGTCTCTTGCATGGTACAGATTAGAATTAGATGTAAGTAGCAATTTTTATTGCGAGTCATGTTGATTGTTGCCTTTAGATATGATATTCAGGTGATTAAACTTGTATTTTGCTATGCTGTAGACAGTCAACATTTGATAAGTATCTACATATTGAGTTTTGAAAGTGAAGAAACCAGCACACATTGTACCTGCATGGCGCTTATAGATAAAAGTGATATCGAATAGGTTTTGGGGATGGATAGAATCTTTTATGACAAAATATCATTATTTCATAATCCATATTTACTATTTCCCAGCTGAGATGCCCCCCAGTCTCACCTGCCCTGACCCAGTGATGGTGTACATAGAAAACAACACACTGCCCAAGACTGTCCAGTTCACAGGGGCGATGGCCAGTGCTGGGGCCACGGTGACATATGAACCCTCAGAAATGACCTATAATGCCTCAGACATAGACAACCTACAGGCCCCTGTAGTGGTGACAGCCAGGGATATGATGAATAATACTGCCCAGTGTAGATTCCATGTGGCCGTCAAAGGTGAGTGGACAGTATATGTAGTTTTTGTATAGTATATGTAGTATTTCTACAGTATCATATTTCTACCTTTCATGTAAAAAAATCATTTCACATTTTTTGTCTGTCTCTGAACATGTGTGTGCATGTATGTGTGTGCGTGTATGTGTGTATGTGTTGTGTGTGTGTTCAATGTACTTTGATTTTCTTAATTATAATAATCTCTGTATACAGTAAAAGGACTGACTTGATACCACTGACATATATTTAAACCAACATTCACCATATAATTCTACCCATGTTATCACATTTCAGCTGCTAACTGCACCCCCTGGGCTCTGCCTGCACCTGTCAATGGCATGAAGAGCTGTATGATGTCACCAGGTGGAGGTTACACCTGTACCATGATGTGTGATGCTGGTTACGCCTTTGAACAGGCTGCTGGTGACCTCAGTTATACCTGTGATGGTAGTCAGGACTGGGCGCCTGGTAACTATGTGCCCGACTGTGTGGGTACGTACATTTTTTTTTTTTTTTTTGACAAATATGAAAAATTTTTTTGAAAAGTCAGCAAATTTGATCTTTATCAAAACTTTGGCTAATTTTTTAAAAATCTTTTGTGTTAAGGTTCAAATAATGTGACTAAATGTCTACCTAGGCTTCTGAGTGAAATTTTTCAAACTTTCCAATCCATTAATTTGAAAATTGCGACATGTATATCTCTAACTATTTATATTTTTTCATTCCAGCTACAAGCAAAGCTCTTTTTACCTTTTCCTTGAGGCAGACATACGATGCAACTGGGGGAGTCCTCAATGATACCTGTATTCAGGAATACACAGCACATTTCAACAGGGAAATCATGGCGGTGACTCGTGCTTTTGAGGTTAATTTGGAAAGATTTTATGTCCCAGGGACAAACATGACGGCCATCATCAGTGACACAGCCATGGGAGTACTGAGTGCCACGCAGGTAATATACACTACAGGGTCACACTTCTGTTAAATCATCTATTGTTCATATTTGGTACTTGATGTCATTTTTCCATCACTGCATTGTCTCTGTGGCCCCATTCTGAAAAGGGGTCTAACTAGTCCAAGGGTCAAATGCTACGTATTCCATGTTTGATATTATTTAATTATTGGTTTTTTTTCCGATTTCAGGTGGATCTGAATATGACCTTCATTTTTACTCCAAGGAACATTTCAGACTCTGACTATACAAGCATGCGGATATTTGTCTCTACTATCTTCAACACGGGAGGAAGCCAGGTTAATCCTGTGAAGCAGCTGACAGGATCGATTGGTTGCGCCACAGTGACAGCCAAGTTAAGCACGGTTGAGAGCAACTTCGTGGACTACAGATGTCTCAGCAATAGCAAAGTTCGATATCAAACTGATGACAACATCTGCTGTGAGTTGCTTGACAGTTTTCTTTCAACATCTGATTCAGAAAGGGACTGCTGTATCTTTCCAGCTGCAGCAAAATCATCCTTCCTAACAAAGAAAACAGTTGTAGCACCTCATCTTAATTGTCTTGAAGTGAATTGGAAGGTCTTAAGTGACAGAAAGTGTCAGAAAGGAAACTTTTTGTATAGTGATCCTTATCATATATTCCAATTATGCTACTTAGTAAATATTTGCCCAAAAATATTTATAAATTTTTTGACAACAAGTATTTTAACTTGTTCACATCAGATGATTTGGGTTTTATGGCAACCTTAATTTTATGGTATCCCAGATTTACATTGCCTGTCATATGTAGGTGAAAACAAAATGTTGATTCAGTAAAAAAACCTTTAACTAATGTTTTTATTTCGTTTTCTTCCAGTGGAGTGTCCATCAGGCCAGTACAGATCAGGTGGCATGTGTCACCTGTGTCCACTGGGGACGTACCAGGACATGCAGGACCAGACCAGTTGTACGCAGTGTCCAGTAGGTACCTGGACGTACAGCATGGGCAGCAATAAGAGACAAGACTGCAGGGGTGAGTGAAGCACAGGGGGCTGGGGAGCTGAATATACTGAGTATAGGAACATATACATGTATGCTGGGAGCACAGGGGGCTGGAGAGCTGAATATAAAATGGTTCAATAACTTCTGATCAACAGTTATGAAGATATTGCAATGAAATTTGGGATATTTTAGAATAACAACTGATGTTGGCCTGCAACAATATTCTTACTTTGTGTCAGCTTTGCCCTCATTCCCATTCAAAGACTGAAGCCATATTTGTAAATGATTATCAAATTCTTGTACTTCAAAGATACACAAGATGCACAAGATCAGAGGTATTTGGCTATATTTGACCAATTTAACCAAAAACTGTAGAGAGACAGTTATTTTGGCTAAAAAAACAGAGACATATTTTAGGATGAAACAAATTGATTAATTGGTTATTTGGTTTATCAATTGATCAGTTGTTTCCTTGACTGATTCATAGATTATTTTATTGATTGATCGTTTGGTTGTTTCCAGCCACCTGTGGCAATGCTGCAGGGTTCATGTCTGACACCAGACTGCCGCCATGCATGGAGTGTCCTGTGAACTCGTACTCCGTGAACAGCACGTACTGCGAGCAGTGTCCTGGTGGGACTGTCACACACGGCACGGGGAAGGACAATGTCACAGACTGTGAATGTAAGGAGCTTTGTCTAGAAGACTTGACATTTAAAATACTTTAATATATAATTTAAAATACTTCTTTTATTTTTTAAATCATGAATAGCTTATTTAAAAGTGCCATTTTAAGTTGGCTAATTTAGTTTTGAAATTATGTGTAATGTTTTGTAGAAAACATCAGAAGAACATTTTATTAAAATTGTATTTTGATGTTTATCACATTATCAGTACAAAAACTTTTATCATTTTATCTCCCCCTCTGTCTTCAGTGGCCTGTCCCCTGGGTTATTACTCCTTTGATGGGTTCTTCCCGTGCCAGGCCTGTCCCAGGGGATTCTACCAGGATACCAAGCAGAGTCTGTCCTGTCAGGAGTGTCCAGCCAATACCACCACTCTGATGACCGCGGCCACTCACCTGGACAACTGTACTGATATTGGTAAGCTGCCCTACAGCAGAAAGTTATTTACATACATCTAACTATCAAAACTGTGATTTCACTTTCTTCATAATATCAAGTACAAGAGATATGTTTATAAATCATATGTTTTCCTAACATAAGAAGTGTGTATATTTTCAGCAACCACAGTGTGTACTAACACCACCTGTGCTAACATGGGCACCTGTTACCCCCAGGGTCACACCTACTACTGCATGTGTCCAGCAGGTAAGAACTGGTCAACACTGGTCAACACTGGTCAATACTGGTCAGGAACAGCTTTACTATGTACAGCTCTACTTTTCAAGTTCAAGTGATGTAAACATTATAAATATCAAATGTATTTGGAAAATTTTGTAGAGTTGTGTAGTATTAATGTAGTATTAAAATTTTCATAATTGTATGCATTGCTAAATTTAAAAAAAAGAGGGCTAGAAATTTCGGGTAATCTCATTGGCAATGTCCACATTCACCTATGATGATTTGATACGTTTGGAAGTATAATATTCTTTTTGCATGAAATATAAAATGATGAATTATTGAAGCAAATTTGATTAATTTGAGACCTATTAATTTGAGACCAGGTCTAGTAGATGTCATTTCATTTGCTGTGTTAAACCAAATGTTATTTGTACTTCACTTCAGGTTATACTGGTCGTCACTGCGAGGTGATGATCAACCACTGCGACTCTATGCCATGCCACTATGGAGCCCAGTGTACGCCTGTCGTAGATGGCTTCACCTGTAACTGCAGCACTGCTAACAGAGCAGGAGAAACAAGTAAGTTTGGCCAGAAAGCTTCAGATGTGAAAGTCCCTATATTCTGTACTTGTAATAAAGTCAAAAGACAGAATGTCACCCTTATTTCTAGCAGTTTCCAAATACGCTAGATAAAAATATTGCAAGTGCTGCTAAGTAACTGTTGAAGATTTGATGGCTGAAAATGAAACTTTTTTTGTTTTATTTGCCTTTTTCAACCTGTCATTTCAGTTAAGACAATACAAAACAGCCTTTAAGACTTTGAAGATGATAATGATAATTCTCATTGTTTTTTTATTTCAATATTTTAAAGTAACTTTCTTGCTATTTCCAGCCTACACTGGTCTGAGATGTGAGAATGAAACCAGTCAGTGCAGTAACGGGACTGGTTTCCCCATCCACGATTGCAAGAATGACGCCATGTGTCAGGACCTGGAAGCAGGCTTCAACTGTCTGTGTCTGTCCACGGGAAGTTTCACTGGAGACAAGTAAGTTGGCACAATCTCCGCGCCAGCAGAGGGTGGTTTTGTCAGAGCTGGCTTGTGTTGTGAAATTTTGTGACATAATTGTAACGGAAGTCACCCCTTCTCTTTCCTCC